AATCTGCTAATCAAGTTCTGCAAAAAATATTCTGTTGGAATTTTAATTAAAATTGCATTAAATCTATAATCACTTGAGGGAGAATTGACTTTTTTTATAAATCTTTCTACCATGAACATGATTATCACTCCATTTATTTAGTTTTTTATTATAATTGAATGTAGTTGTGTAATTTTCTACATAAAGGACCTGCACGGCATTTGTTAGATGTATGCTGGGTGTTCTTTTCTCCCATTGCCCTTAAGTGCACCTTCCATCCTTCCCATCATGCCCTATGCCCAGGAGACGAACTCCATAGACTACATCAACAAGTCCCTATGTCCTGACTCCCAGGAGGGTTGGAAAAAGGAAGCAATGGCCAGGAAAGCAGGAGGAGAGTGAGATGGGATGTTATTCCCTAGCCCCTTCTCTTTCAGGCAGCCAGTCAGCAGAGCTGTGCTCTTCTACTGAAACAAACACACGCCTCCACCTGCAACTCTTGCCTAGACCTGCAACTCTCCACGTTCTGGGAACTGCTCACTTTTACCCACTCAGACCTCTGGTGTTACTTACCCTTGGAGTTTGACCATCTTTGTTGGTTTCTCTGTAATCTGCACACATCTTTGCAGTCATTATACTCTGCATTGAGAATGCTACCTGTTTCCTGTAGAAAGCCCAGCCAATAGAACAGTGTGTGTGAGTGTGTGTGTGTGTGCGCGTGTGTATAATTTCTCATAATTTGTAGCTTATTTTCCATTTTCTATAGGGAAAATCATATCATCTGCAAATAATGATATTTTATTGTTTCTTTTCTGATCCTAACACCTTTTCTGATGGTCTTACTACATTGACTTGTACTCCAGAGCAATGCTCATTAGCAGTGGTAAAAGCAGCCACCCTTGTTTATCCCTAATTTTAAAGGGATTGCTCTTCCTAATTCTCCACTAAGATGTTCACTGTAGATCAAGGAATTTCCATCCTAAACCTAGCTTGCTAAGGTTTTATCTCGAATTCTTGTTGAAGTTCATCAGATCCTTATCTCCATCTATTGTGATCATGATTTTTCTCCTTTAAACAGTAAATATGATGAATTACAAAATACATTTTATAATGTCAAATCAATCCTTTCAAAAATGCATGCTGATTAACCATTTCTAGCTCTAGTTTGCAAATACTTTATTTAGAATTTTTGTCTTTAGATCTATGGATGAGATCGGTCTGTGAATTTCCTTTCTACTAAATGTCCTGGTCTGCTTTTGAAATCAAGATTATATTTGTCTCATAAATATGAGTGGGAAGTATTCTTTCTTTTTCTGTTCTTTGAAAGAGTTTGTGTAAGCTTGGAACTATCTGTTCCTTAAATATATAGTAGAAACTACATTTAAAAACATCTGGTACTGGTATTTATTCTATGGAAAGATTTTTAACTACTGACTCAAATTCTTTAAAAATTATAGGATCCTTCAGGTGCTTATTACTTCTTAAATCAACTTTAATAATTTATACTTCTTTAGGAATTTTTCAATTTCACTGAAGTTGTAAATAATTTGACATCAACTTGATTATGATATTCCCTTAAAATTTAACCTTTTCTGCATCAGTACTGAAGACCTTTATTCATTCTGATATTTTTTGTGACTTCTCTTTTTTTCTTGATCTGTCTTGCTGGGAAGTTCATCTTTTTAAGCAACACTGACTTTGACAATTTTGTGTTGTTTGCTATTTCATTTACTTCTACTCTTATTTTTTTTTCTTTCTACTATTTTGGGGCTTATTCAGTTATTTCTTTTTTTCTGTCTTCTTAAGATGGACGCATAGCTCATTCCTTGTCAGCCTACCTTCTTTTCTAATGTAAGTTATTTAAGGCTACAAATTTCACTCTGAGATACTATTTTTTTAAAGAGTCTGGAAGGGCACCTGGGTGGCTCAGTTGGATGAGGATCCGACTCTTGGTTTCAGCTCAAGTCATGGTCTCGGGGTCGTGAGACAGACCCCCACATCTGACTCCATGCTCAGCAGGGAGTCTCTTTGAGATTCTCTCTCTCTACGTCTCCCTCTGCCCCTCCTCCCGCTCACACACACACACCCTCTCTCTCAAATAAATAAATAAATCCTTAAAAAAAAGAAGAAGAAGAAGTCTGGATCACATTGACTTCTTTCGTTGTCTTCATTGCACATCTGAAGTCATCTGGTTTATTTTTTTATTATCTGCTTATTTGTCTTACCAACAAGAAGATGCTCCATGTGAGCATCTCTCTCTCCCTATCCCAGAGCTTGCCACTTACTAGTCACTGAATAAATTATTGTTGAAACAGTGAGTGAACAGAGGGATGATTATACCTAATTGACTGCCTGAGCAGACAGACACCCAGTCAACATAGCTTTTGGCTGAAGAAAGAACTATATTACTACTGTTTTGTTGTTGTCGTTGTTGTTTGTTTGTTTGTTGTTGTTTTATCCTCAAACAAAAACCACGATGTTTTAACCTATAAAAGCCAAACCAAGAGTCTACCCACCAGTCTATTAGAGCATCCTCCCCCTTGCTTGAAAAATGGTGATTTAAGGAGAAATCTTAGTGCTCTTGCTTAAGAAAAATATCTGGATGGTTGAAAATTGGATAAAGCTGTCAGTGACTCCTTAGGAAAAAAAAAAGTTAGACTTACTGCCCATGATTGAAAATCAAAACAAACTTAGAATCAAATGTTTTCTTGCTCTGTAGAATTCGTCTTTGAGAAGATACAGAGGAATAGAGAAATGGAAATAACATAAAAAACATTTTCTTTCTCTTGCATCAAATTGGCTTGTTATCTGTGACTTTCAAAGATAAAATAACCTTGGTTTTCAGAGCCTGTGTCACATCCTCTCTTGCCCCCCTAGAGCTCCCTGAACACCCCTCACTCGCTCTGGTAGTCTGCCTGCACAGAGATAGCCAGCCCATCTCCCAGATTCCCAACCCTGCAACTTCTGCCTGGTACTCCCTCAACAGTATGAGGAAACAGTGAAGATAAACTCTTGCTTCAGGCAGAGAAAAGTGTAAGCTGCACATTCTCACGGAGCTAGAGAGACCCAACAAGATCCACCAGTCATCATAGGCATTCAATAGCCCTTAACTTCTACCTCAACAGAGCATGCATCTCAGTCCTACCTACTCTACTTGAAGTAAAGTTAGTTGCGTACTTGACTTTGGAACTCGGCCCTCTTCACGCTGCCAGCTCATGAGGGAAGGTGCAATGCCTGACTTGTTTTGTATCCTCCAGAGCCTGACAAAACAGAGTCTTTTCCATAGAAGCACTCCATAAACTCCGAATCGAATTGAAACTGGGGCCAAGCAAGAGGTCGCACAGCTCATTAGTGGTAAAGCTGTGGTCCTCTGGGATCCCATTCCAGTGCTCTTTCAACTTGACCACACCCCTCTCACTCAAAAACTCAGCTGACATTCCTTCTTTCAGATGGCAAACGCGTTCACTAGTGTTTCACCAATAACCATCCATACTCAAATGGGTCTGGTCTCTTTCTTCCTAATGCATACTGTCCGATATCTACAAGCCCCACATACTGTATATCTACAAGCCACGCACATTGTGCAATACCTACAAACCATCGTTAAGCTTATAAAACACGGAGAAAATCATCTCCTGAATTAACTAGATTCTTTGACATTGAAGGATGAGACACACAAATCATCTTCAGTGACGGGACTTGGCTTTAAGAACACACAGAGGACTGAGGCAGCCTGAAGGCATGAGAATTGTGGTGCACGCACCCTTGGAGGTACACCTCGGGCCTCAGGGCGGCTCCAGCAGAGCTGGCTCAGTGCTGTTCAGAATGTACCCCGAGCTCTAATCCCACATCACTTGATATTCCTGGCCCGAGAGAAATCTGTTGGGTCAGTTTGCCTCCATCCAGTAAGGAACCATCTTGTTGGGCAGAATTTCTCACCCGATGGTTCTCCCTGGTGTAGATCCTTTGGTTCAGTCACAGAATCTGGACCTGATACCTCGATAACCTAGAAAGCAGGTCTGCCTCTTAAAGGAGCCTAGGACTCCTCTCCAGGACATTTTCCTTAATAAATAGAAACTGTTTCAACTTTCCAGGAAGCATTAATATCCATTTTCTTCCCAGTTTTTCTTCACATCTTCATTCAGCTCTTTTTTTTTTTTAAGATCTTATTTATTTGTCAGAGAAAGAGAGAAAGAGCAAAGCCAGCAGAGGGAGAAGCAGGCTGTCCCTGTCCCCCGGGAAGCCCTGCACGTGGCTCCCCTGTTCGGCAGGCTTTTGAAGGACAGTGAAGGGGAAGAAGGTTGTTGGCTGAACATGACAGCTCTGAAAAGAGTGAATAAGTGAGATCCAGGGTGTTGCAGATAATTTTACTTATCTAGAGGGATGAGTATGTGCCCCTTTTGACAGTGAACGGGAGTAACAAAAGTACCAGCTGCCACCGGAACATGGAGACCCTCCATTAGGAATTTCATGGCAGAAGCCACCTGCAGATTACCGAGAAGCTTCTGACAAGATGGAAGATGAATTGATGTAGTGCAAGGAAATGCTGCAGACAACAGGCCCTGGAGCTTCTGGGTGCTGATTCAGACGTCATGGGAGGAAGGGCCTTCTAGAAACTGACTGGGTGAATGGAGACTAAGTAATGTGAGTGATTGTCTTGAAGAGTAAAAGAAGTGATGCGAAGAAAGAAGAGTTGAGGGACGCCTGTGTGGCTCAGTCAGTTAAGCATCTGCCTTCGGCTCAGATCATGATCCTGGGGTCCTGGGATCGAGTCCCGCATCGGGTTCCTTGCTCAGCGGGGAGTCTGCTTCTCCCTCTCCTTGACCCCCACTCATGCTCTCTCTTGCTATCTCTCCCTCTCTTAAATACATAAAATCTTTTTTAAAAATTAATAAATCTTTAAATATACATATTTTTATAGATCAGCAACACACACAGGAAATGAGGTCACAAAGGCCTTGGAAGTCACTGACAGGTTTGAGCAGACAAGATCTGATTATCATCAAAGCCTTCTTCTGACTGTTGGGGAGGACATATCAGAAGCAGGGAGATCAGCTATGACATCGTTGCACCAACACTGGTGCTTTAGACTAAGGTGGTTGCGTGGGTGGCCATGGGGAGTGGTGGAACTCGGTATATTTTGGAGGGAGCGCCAACACGATTTTCTGGATTGAGGATGAAGCGTCAGAGGACGACTCCCAGGGCCCGGGATTCTGGGTGGATAGAATTGCCATCACTGCACCAGGACAGATTGTCCCACTTCCCGACAGCCAGGTGAGGCTGTAAATGACACAGCATCACGCTGACACTTCCTCGATTTGCAGCCCTGGAAGTAAAGGGAGACAGCTCATATAAAAGGGACCCAGGATCCAGTAGAAACCGCAGGGAAGAAACAAAGACCCCCAGGTTTTTGGGCCACAGTTGCTGGAAGAAGGGAGTTGCCTTTAATTGAGGTAAAAAGCTCATCTCACCCTTAAGAGGGGCCTTAGTCCCTGACTGTCCAATATTCAGTTCCAGAACCCACAAGCTCTAGCTCTACTTCCTAAAATAGGGGTCTGGAAGATCAATAAAGCCCATCAATAAAGTTCTTTTCCTTAGGCTTATTTGAGTGGGTTTCTCTTCCTTGGAATCACGCTGTTTGCTAAAATATAGTCCAAAAAAGAAAAAAGAAAAAAAAAAAAAAAGATGGGACCCCTTCACTGTAGATTCGTCTGATTCCATGGAGCTATGCTGTGTATCTACTGAGTTTGAATCAGCTTCCAAATATCCCCTCCAACCAATGGAACAAACATTAAATATACAAAATAGCCTGCATGCATCAAAGTTGAAAGCAACAGAAACCTGCCTCAAACTAGCTTAAGCAAAAGGGGGAATGTACACCTCCACCCAGGTTAAGAAGTCAGAGACATGACTCTTCAGGTATGGTGCCTTCAAGTTCAAATTACACCATCAGGTATCTGTCTGTTTATCTGTTGTCTATCCATCCATCCACCCATCTATTTTTCTCGTGGTTTGCTTTCTTCTGTGTTGATATTCTCAGGCAGATTCTACCCACAGGGTAAGAAAGACGACTCCCAGCAGCTCTGGACTTTGATCTGCTTTGGAGAGACTATGCCCTCTCAGTATCCGTATCATTCTCTGGGGAAGGTTTCTGTCTGGCCTGCTTGGGTCCCCTGTCACCTCGTGGTGGGAGTGGCATCCCAAGCCCTTTATTGACTGACCCACCAGAACGATACAGCATGCAAGAGTGGTAAATTCCAGAAGGGAAGTATCATCGGAGTCAGACAAAAGAGTAAGAGACACGCTGCATATAGGCCCCTATTCTCAGGTATGAAAATGGTTTTTCTCTGTGATATGCAATTGGCATCACAATGTATCTGTGTACACATCACCACTAACAGTGGCAGGTATTTCAATATGTTTAAAGGAAGTTTTCCTTCACACACACACACACACACACACACACACACACACACACACAAATACACAGACTCCAGCAAAAATATTAACTTAAAAATTCATTTGAAAGGATACAGGTAAACAATTTCACAGGGATGTAAATCAAGTGTGACTTGAGTAACTACTAGGATCAGCTAGCTCTTCTTTTTTTAATGACTGTGTATAGGCTGTGAGGGAAACACTCCTGGGGCTAGGCTGGGAATTGGTTTCAGTGCAGTCTTGCTCAAGGGAAACTTTTTTAGACACTAAACTCTTCTGCTTAGAACAAAAAAGCAAGGATTTTACGAAATGAATGAAACACAAATGAATTTCCCAATGCGGCGGGGTGGTGGGGAGAAGAAAAGCCTCTGGGTCTGAAATACAGTGTGGAGAGTCCAGGTCATGAGAAAAAAGGAGAGTCATTCAAACAAAGATACCCAAGAGACCCACAAAAGTGTCTCATTTTGTGAGCATTACACATTTGGGGGAGGGGGAGGTTTGTTGGATATTGATTTATGCACCAGGCCACCAAATGTAACTTTTTGTGGTTTTGGGGTGTTTTCTTCTTTTTTCTTTCTTTCTTTCTTTTTTTTTTTTAGGAAAATGTGGTTGAACCTTTGAAGAATGAAATCCAACTAGCCAGCCTTCAATCACGAAAGCACTAACCGCTCTGGTGTGAGCTACCCAAATCCTTTCCCTCGATGACCACTTCGCCCAGTTACATAATCCTGAGGAGAGCACAGGAGAAGAAGAGGTAAAGCTTTAAAACATCAGCTTGGGCAGTGAGGAAGGAAATCCACCAGCTAAAATGAGAGTTATGGGCAGAAGATTTAAGACCATCCTCAATCCCCTGATCCTTCTGTAACTTACAAGATTGTCAATACATCTCCTGGGATCCTGGGAGCCTTCCCTAGCCTTATTAGGAGAAAAGAAGGGCCCCAGGCGTGGGGCGGGAGGGGGGAGGGAGGAGGGATACCAGAGGTCGTGATATTCAAGGGAAATAAATTCTTCTAGAAAACAAGATATAAAGTCTTAATGACTAAGAATTCCTGAGGCCTTTTACATTACTTAAGTTTGGATAAAATGTCTTCTTTATAAAAAACATACCAGCTATTTATATGTTGCTTCTTAAAACAATGTTTACTTACTTAACTAAGAATGAATATATTCTTTTAAGTGTTCGTAGAATAGGGGTGCCTGGGTGGCTCAGCTGATTAAGCGTCTGCCTTCCGCTAGGTCATGATCCCTGGAGTCCCGGGATTAGGCCATCGCGGGACTCCCTGCCCGGCAGGGAGTCTGCTTCTCCCTCTGCCCCTCCCCCCCAGCTCATGCTCTCTCTCTCACCCTCTCTCTCTCAAATAAATAAGTAAAATCTTTAAAGAAAAAAATAAAAATAAATGTTCAGAGAATACAGAATTACATGGAGTACAAAAAAGAGCCATCTTTACCTTCCCCATGGTAACCACTGTAATAGTTCAGTGTGTAACTTCTAGACACTTTTCCCGCTGGTTGTACATGTGCCTCCATGCACACAGACATGTGCACACACACATGCATGAATCCATGCGCACATACAGGAGGTATATAAATAGAATTAAACCGTGCGTGTGGTTCTCTGTACACTTTTTCACCTAAAAATATTTCTTATAAATCTTTCCGTGTCAGTACTATAGATCTACCTTATTCTCTTCTACTGTGGCATATTATTATATAGTATTATCTATATCACAACTTACTTCCCTAATGATGCACCTTTAAATGGTTTCTAGTTTTTTCCTATTATAAACAACGCTGCATTGAAAATGGTTATCGATGCTTCTTTGTACACATGTGCAAATAATTCTCTCCCCAGACAAAAACATAGAATTGGAAGTAATGGTATCATTTTTACTTTTGATATACCCTGCCAAATACACATTTTTACTTTTGATATACACGGCCAAATTGATCTCCAAAAGACTACCATTTTATACTCCCTCAACGTTGAAAGCAACAGAATTATTTTCTTTTTGATCTCCAAATGGGTGAAACTTTGATTATTGATCACTACTTACTAATTAGATTATCTTTTCACATTTGAATTGCTAACTTTTAAGTCAGTGACTTCACTGTTTCTATTTTCCCCATCTTTCAACTTTTTTTCTTTTTCTTACTTGTTTGTATGAGCTCTTTATGTATTGTGGATAATCATATTTATCTAATTGTGCAGCTTGCAAACATTTTACCTCAGACTGTTGTTCATGTCTCAAACATTTCACTGTATTAAAACTTCAGATTTTTAATGTAGCTTTAAAAAGCTTTCTCCTGTATGGTTTCTCTGTTTTATACCTTGCTTAAAAAGGCATTACCGGGGGGCTCCTTGGTGGCTCACTCAGTTAAGCATCTGCCTTCGGCTCGGGTCATGATCCCAGGGTCCTGGGATGGAGCCCCACATCGGGCTCCCTGCTCAGTTGGGAAGCCTGCTTCTCCCTCTCCCTCTGCCACTCCCCCTGCTCCCCTTGCTTGTGCTCTCTCTCTCTCTCTCTCAAATAAATAAATAAAATCTTAAGGAAAAAAAAGGCATTACCGGTCTGAAAATTATAAGATGGTTTTGCTATTTTTTCTAATGTTTGTATAGTTTTTCCTAATGTTTGTATAGTTTTTCCTCTAGATTTAGTCTCTTAATCCATATGAAATAAGTTTTTTTATATGTATTGGGAGATTAAAATGTTCTTTCCTTCTTATTGTTCTGACACAATTTATTGAATCGGTCATCTTTTCTTTGAAGTGTTACCTTTGTCATACACTAAATTCTCATGTAAACATAGTACATGGGTCTGTGCATAGACTCCTTCCATTGATCTATTTCTCTATTCTTGAGGTACGAACACACCACTTTAATCACCACCATTTTAAAGTATGTTTTGATATAAAGTAGGACAAATCTGTCACTGTTAGCTTGTTTCTAATAATCTTTTGATTCATCTGTGCATCTTCTATTTGACATGAACTTGTACATTGGCTTGTCAAGTTTCATGAAATATCCCCTTGTGATTTTTCGGAGAATTGCATTGAATGAATAGATTACTTGGGAAAGAACTGACAGCCTTCACAATTTTGAGTCTACCATCCAACATGGTATGTGTCTCTTTGTTCAAGTTTTCTTTTGTCCTTCAATAAGATGTTATGGTGTTCTTCATATTAGGTTTTCTTCTAGATTCTTTTACTACTGTCATTAAGATGTTTTTGTGACATTTCCTAATTGTGTATTGGAGTCACGCGAGATTACTAATTTTTCATCCATTTCATGCACCCAGCAACTATTGTTAAATGGTCACTCTGGGACACTGCAATCCTAATTGCCTACTGGAGGCATACAGACAAATCATTGATTTTTGTGTTGCTAAAAGATCAACCGAGGCATATTAAAAATTTTAAGAGCTTCTTTTTGCAGAGATCAACTCTAATCAGGCTGAGCCAAACCAGAAGTGGTCAGGAGTGATCCACTGACAGGATCGGGAGAGACTTACACAGACGTTATGGGAAGCAGAGCAAAAAAAAAAAACAATTCGATTGGCTATAGTTTAAGTGTTTTCCTTATTTGGAAAAGCCATAGTTGGTTATTTGTGACTGGTTGTCCTTTGGCTTCCACCTCTCAACCGTGAAGCGTTTACAAGCTTAGGTTTGGGTTTTGCTTCCATAGGCTACTAAAGCATCAGAACCTCCTCTGCCTAATGGCTTCCCTGTTTAATGAATTTAACAGTATTGTTAATCCCTATAAGAGAAGCTACAGGATGAACTATCAGTGAATAAATTTTAATAACCAAGGTTGGATGGGTACATGGGCCAGGAAACTGAAAGGAAAAGCAAAGGACTCGGAAAAACTTCTTGAGCACATTTTCAAGCACATTTCTATTGTCTTCTCTATAAAGTCAGACAGTAGAAATTTCTTCACTACTGAGTGGTAGAAAAAGGCATTGCTTTCCCTGTGGTCATGTGCTTTTTCCTCACAAAGAACCAAAAATATGCAAGGGCATATATTCTTCCCCAACCAGCCTTTTTTTCTGCATCTGATGCCAGGAAGTTCAGAGTTAACTTGCTTGGTCAACCACAGCAAGTGTGCATTAGCCCTAGTCCTCTCTCCCCACCTACCCGACCCAGTGTTTGCTTTTGTTCATGTTTTTAATGTGTATTTCCTATGAAATGGCTTGATCTGGGAAGCAAGGCAAGGAAAGAAGAGAAAATACTTCTCGGCATCTAGGACACTAGTCGGTATAAACAGATTTGCGGGGGATCTTTCCTTCAAGCTCCTGAGACTCCCAAGGACAAGGTCAGTCAGCTCTGCCCCTGTCTCAGGCGCCCCCCACCTTTGCCCAGCCCAGATTGGGGGAGACCCGGCTGCTCTGTACTGACTACAGGGCCTTCTGTCTGGGGCTGTTCCTCTTGCCCCAAATTACCTCCGGCTTCTCTGTCAGCAACCACAAAGGACAGACAGCCTTGAATCCTTTCATCATGAAGACAGCATTTTCTTGAGTTGTTTTTTGTTGTTCTTTTTAATTTTTCTGAGTGTTTGTAAGGAGAAAAATGGGAGGAACCCTTCTCTCAAGGCCCAAAACAGTTTTCAAAGCTGCGTGCTCACAGCAAACAGCTTTTCTCATTCTGTTTATGTGTTTGGGCCGCACAATTTTGAGTGACTCAGACGTCAAAAAACCATTCCGATCTGGGGGAAGGGCACCCGCAGGGATTGTTGCTCTAATTTAGCGGATTTTCATATTGTGAAGCATACGAGAGAAAGAAAATGCTGAAAGAAGCTAGGGACCAATTTCAACCTAAGCTACAGGTTTGCATTTTTCCATTTCTCTGCATTCCCTTCCGCGTCTCCACCCCGCCACCCACACCCCCCAACTTAGCTTTTCTATTGCAAATGATCGAGGACGGGATTTGAATAAAAGCCGAAGCTATTTCCTCTGCTCCCGGCCTGCAGACAACTGCATCACAATTTGAGATATTTTGCACACTTACCACCAATTGTGAAATAAATGAGCTTATCTGATGTATGTCATTTGAGTAAAAGAAATTACAAAGTAATAGGTAAAAATAAAGGTTTGTTGTGCATGCACGAAGGCTGTCACTGGATGAATAACTGGCCTTTAGGTTTTCATGTCATTGGGCTTGAGCAAGGGGACAATAACAAAGGATTTACTATCCCCACCCCACCCCCCCAAAAAAAGTGATCAACACAACCTTTGCAACAGATCTCTGACCCTTGAATAATGCCGAACCCGGAAACTAGCAGAGCTAAATTTCATCACAGACAGAGAGAGAGAGATGATTCTTCCACTACAAAAATTTCTAAAAGAATCAACTAACAAATTTTCAACCCAAGTAGCTCCAAGAGAGCTCTCCCGTGGAGTTTACTGAATGACAGTCATTGTTCTTAAAACAGACTCCTGTGTTTGGAGACTGCTGATTGCAGGGTAGGATGTTTTTTCTTTTTTTAAATCTGAGGACGCCCAAAGTGGCTTCGAAGGGGAGAATGTCCCAGCATTTTCATAATCAGCTCTGTTTAAACTCTGACCTTGATAAAGAAGTCTTTTTTTCTCTCCCCCTCAGCATCTTTATTCTTTAATAACATTTGACCTGACTAGAGAAGCAATGCGTGTACCCTTAGACATTTTGCAAAATGCTGAAAATCACAGGGAAGAAAAAATTCAAATCACTTGCTTTTCCAGCACTCATCCATTAATGTTCTTAATTGACTATTTACATTTTAATGTTGAGTCTTCTGGCCTGTACTTTTCAGTGTATATGCTCAGATTCTTCCCCAAAGATGAGAACATGCCATTTTTGTTTTTTTTGTAAATGGTTAAAAATCCTCACCATCATGGTTGCTGTTAGCTGCCACCATAAGCCACATCAGAATGTTTTCAATGCATTTCCTCTTACAGGGCTTTTGGGTTTTTCTTGGTGGCTCTTGTTAACATGGAGGTCATGGCTAAAGTTGTGACGATGTGAAGTCTAACTTAACTCACCCCAAAGTGACATTGCCACCTCTGTGACCAAGAATCCTCCTGGGGCACAGGCCTGATGGGGGAGAGGGAATGACAGGAAAACACTTTACACACCTTTAGGGAAGTTGGCTAAACTAGAATCTAGTGCCATTAGTGAAATGTCAACAGCCAGCACCTCATTGGCTAAATATACATGGAAACAAGCCACCAAAATGAAAAAAATTCTCTCTTTCTCTATGAAAGTTCTCTTTCCCCTTTATTTGAAAAAAAAAAAAAAAAGAGCAAGGAAATCATTTGAAACTTTACATCCCTTTTTGGCAATGAACTCCCAACATTTTTATGTCACTTCCTCTGTAAAATGTCCACCTGGGTCCCTTCGTAGCCCCTGCTTCCCCCACCTCTTCTCCCTCACCCTCACCCCCCGCAACACACACTGGCTCTGCTCCCGTCCTGTCTGGTGATCACTGGTCTCTGCTATTTGGAGGCTGCTTTAAATAAACCTGTTTTATCTTTTCTCCCAGCTTCCTTTCCACAAGAGTCTACATCCCATTCAACTTGGTAGCCCAACACCCTAGGCACATAAATATTTGTTGAACGATTCTTTCAAGGCACCTTGGCAAGTGTCTCCGGGTGCTTTTTCTGCATTTCGGTCCCTCACAGGCTGGAGGCCACAGTTTGACAAAGCCAGGGCAAGGTCAAGGGGAGCCCAAGAAGGCTGCTTTCAAGTTGAGTAATGAAAGGCGATGTTAATTACCGACATGGGCCGTTTAGAAGGAAGAAAAATGCTATCTCTTATTAATTTTGCTGAAATGGACACACTCTTGTCAGTGGCTAATGGTTAACAAAGCCATTCTTTTCTGAAGACAGAGCAGGAAAAAATCCCAGTAAAGGACCTGAGTGGACCCAGTGCAAAACCAGCTTCCCGCTCCCACATGTCTGCACCAGCCAGAGATAACAGGTCTTACTTTTTTGGTTGTTCATGTGTAAAGTTAGACAGAAAACCATCCATGGGAGGTTAAAAGGTTCATTTGTGCCAAGAAGTGTATGATGGGCTTACAGGGAGCGTCGGTCTCAAAAGCCAGGCTCAGGAATGAAGTTTACATGTTAATGGGGGGGGGTTAGAAGGAGAAGAGAAATCAGCCTGTGAAATGGGAATTCCTCCTCCTGTTAGTGGGAAACGCTAATTTAATCAAGAAGAAAGGGTTTGTGGGCCAGGCGCTCTCCCTCGGCTTTCAGCCTCCTGGATAATCTTGGGTGGAAGTTCATAAATGCTTCTCAAATGCTCCCATGCTTTCAGTCTGAGCACTGGTTTTGGCAGTTGTGAGCTTCAAGTGGACCTATTTAAGCTGATCAGAGGAAACAGGCTGACAGTGAGCTGATTAGAAACCTCTTAGAGACCCTTCTTTAAAGAGGGGAAGGCGTTCTTAACTTTTTTTCCATGGGCTTTGGAGAGGGCCCCCGGGAGTGGGTCATAAAGAAGAAAGGATGGGGGGAGGGGAGCGTCCATCTTAGAACACGAAGAAAAACAACCTCCTTGCCAGACCTTTGCCAACCTTCCTGTTCTTGTCAAGCTCTGCTCTGAGGGGAATGTTTGAAGATAACAGGAAAGGAAATAATGAAATGATATGGCAAAGACGAGCTCGACTTGAAAAGACGAGTACAAGCTGTTTCCTTGACCCAGGCTTATCTCAAGCCTGCCAAAAAATAACCATCTATCAGGGACCCATAAATAGGTTAGAAACATCAGAGTAAAATGCCTCCTTGAACAATACAACTATATCCCTGTTCATTTAGAAAACAACATAATGGACATACGGGGCCACCGTTGACACCATCCACACAAAGGTGCCTGTTTGTCTCCAGGGATGAAAGGTGGGGGGTGAGTCCTTTCAAAACACAGACTGTTTATTAGGAGTGAGGAGTTCCATTTGAGAAATGTAATAAACATACTAACATTCAGAGGGAACATTTCAAAACCTCTGCGGGGGGGGGGGGGGGGGGGCCGGATAGGAGCTGCTGACAGTAACACACACATGGAGGAGAAGGAGAAGTTTCCACGCCGAATTCTAAATACATGAGTAAGTTACCCTCTTGCTATCTGCAGACCCCTTATCAGCAACAGAAAGTTCAGGTGAAGGATTTGCTTTCTAAACTGATAGCCCACAGTTGACCTAAAATAGAGCAGGTAGGTCCTCGGCGGTGGGGGGAGACCCGAGCCCCTGGAAGAAGCCCACCGGCCTCGGGGTTGCCATCTGTAAGAACAGAATGGCAGGTTAGATTACCGACCTAAAACAGAAAATGAAGTTTACCAATTAGCTTTGAATAAATATTATCCTTCCCGTCTCCAGTGAAGAGCTGAAGCCAAATTAGAAAAAGACGCAATTCAGCTCCTAAATCCAGAGAACCAAACCTAAGCCGACCTAACCTGGCAGATTGCTCTGACTCCACCAGAATAGCACGGTGATGTCACGCTTTTCATCATTCCCCCCCCCCCAAAAACCAACCACCTATCCCTCCTAAAAATAGCTTGATGCAGTTCTAAGGGAAAAAAGGAAGAATTCGAAATATAAAGAATAAATATGTTTTTAACTTTAAACCAGAGAGCAATAAAAGTCAATCTTTTCCTTCCTGTTTATTCATCTCCCTGACTGTGTGTGTGTGTGTGTGTGTGTGTGTGTCAAAATCCCCTGAAAATTGTACAAGAAGGAAAAATCATTTCCAAAATAATTTAATTTATGGAGCCTTATTTTCTGAAGCCATCTCATCTTTGTAGATTTTCCCTTTGTTTTGCACCAGTCAAGGCACTGGCTTTGGGATTTACCAAATTCTTAATGTGGAGCCCTTTGAAAAACTGTTATCTGTGGGGCAGAGGGAAAAAATTAAGGAGACTGCTAAATATCAGGAGGCTAAATCAATGGTTCTTGATGCTGTTTGAGCCTTAGGACACATGTCAGGCTTTTCAAATAGGGAGGCACAGGACCCTCAGGGGACCTGTTAAATCATCAAATAAGGCCCAAGCATCTGCCTTGTTCAAAAGGAACCCAGGCAGCCCTGTGACAGTCAGCATTGAGAACTGCTGAACAGACTCTCGATTCTAGAGAGCAGGCTCCTATGTCCCCATCCCCACACCCAGGGGCTGTGTCTTGTCCCAGTTCTCACAGATACAGCAGAAGCCAGCTATTCTGAGAGATCCATGATTTGATTTTATTTTTTTAAAGATTTATTTTATTTATTGGGCTGGAGGCGAGGGAGAGGGAAAGAAAGTCCCAAGCAGGCTCTGCGCTCAGTGCGGAGCCCGACTTGGGGCTCTATCTCATGACCCTGAGATCACAACCTGAGCCAAAACCAAGAGTTGGACGCTTAACCGACTATGCTACTGAGGTACCCTAAGTTTCGTGATTTTTAGAATCACCCTCCCCCCAAAATAGCTTAGCCTCCCTCTCCCACTTCCTTTGTTCCTCCTAAATTGCTGTTGATTTTCTTTGTCCCAGAACGGAACTCCCTAAGAAAAGGAGGCCAAGTGATGGAGATGGAGAAAAACCTTACCCAAGACTCCAGTGGAAGATGAGTCAGGAGGCCCCCTGCCAGAGAAGGAAGACTGAGTTGGCTGAGTCTTGTCTGGAGACAATAGAGTGAGGGCCACAGTGAATCACTTGGGGCGCCCTACCTACCCTGCTCTAGGGAAGCCTGCCATATACCTGATGGTTAAGTGAGAGAAAACCTGGGTCAGAAAAGTGATTCCTAGCAATAAAAATCTCTCTCCTTTTGAGACTTCTTAATTTTGTCAAAGTCCTGCCACATCTATTATCTGGTTTTATAACGAATTCCATAAATACCCGTATGTTCATAGGAGATCTACGAACCAAGCAAATGTAATATTGCTGTCATTTCCTAGCCTGATCAAAAGAAACACAGGAAAATTTTCATGGGGATTATGAAATTGGTTTCTAAATACCAGTGTTTATAATTTACTTTTTTTAATTCTCACTTTATCAAGTCAAATATCTGCCTGACCTATCTTAAAAGCCAAAGCGTTTGGGTTACAGCGGATCATGGCGGGCAGAATGCGGGGGGTGGGGGGAGGAGGGGGGTGTCATGTTTTCAAATTTCTATCTTCAGTCAGAGCTTCCATGAAACTTAAAGACACAGAGTCAAGGAAATTTCAGCCCCTGCCCCATCATGCGTCGCTCTCTGTTAGCGGACTTGATACTTAACGATATGCTTAGATTCATGAAACTACCTTCTACTCTGTCTCCTCCCGATGAGGTACCTCTTCTTCTCCCAAACTCCCAACCGTCTTGGCTTCCAGCCTTTCACCACCCTCTTGGGCTCCTCAGACACCCTTAAATTCTATGAGACTCCTCCCGGCGTCTCTGCCAGGTGACTGGCCTAGTGAGGACAAGCACGAGACAATGTCACGCAGACTATGGGTGACTTGGAAAGTCAGAGGAAGGTGGGTTCCCTCCACCATGGATCCACTGGGGAGACGTCAACGGAGGAGGCAGATCCAGATGTGGGCTTGACAGGAAGGATTAGGCTGTGGGGGGCGGGGGTGGGGGTGACCTTGGCTTTGTATCAGGATGCGTTCCAGGCTTGCCCCACAGCAGCCCTGGGACAAGAGCAAATGTGGGGTGGGGTGTGGGTGCTCCAGGGAGGAATAAAGCAATTGGAAGACTCTTCTTGTGCAAGAGATGGATGGTCTCCAGGAGACTCCTAGAAATAAAGATGGAGGGAAAAGGCCAAAAACTCAGCGAAGCCTGAATGCCAAGCTGAGGGCCTCAGGGATCATCAAAAAGGCAACTGAGAAGCCACTCCAGGTTTTTAAAGAAGAGAATGACATGTAAGAGGCTCACACTGGCAGCCAAGCACACGATGTATCGGAACATGGGTAAATTTGCAGTCTGGGTCTAGGCGAAAGGACCTCTACCAAGGTTTATTGATAAGTGCGTTGCCCAAGACTGAGTCAGAAGTCTCACTACAGTCAAGCTAGATTAGGGTTATCCCTGGCCTTTAACCTAGCAGGCCCACCAAGATCGCCAACGAAGAGATAAAGCTCATCCGACCAGGTCTTGCTCATGAAGCCAGGTGAGTTGTTATTCACGGGACAGGAGTCTCTCAGAAATGCATGCTGGCTGATCTGGTGGCTGTTTGCCCCCGCACACTGCCAGTAATTTCAGGACGGAATTGTTTAAAAATATTAGAATCATAGAATGTTGGGATTCGACATAACCTCAGGAACTGGGTGACTGCTAAGGCATTAGCACATCTTTTTGCACAGAGAGCCGACCACAGGCCCAGCACCGCAGAGGGGGGGGAATGGTATGGAAGAGAAACACCCCCCCCCGACCCCCCAAGCACACCGGCTCCTTCAACTCCTTTATCTTCCAGAGGACTGAACTGAGAGGCGGGACGTTACATGATGTGTCCACGATCACGAGGGTATCAGAGCCAGGTGAAATATGCTGGCAGATGGAAATAGGCAAAGAGAGTTCATTTTTATATCCATAACACAGGGAAATTATGTATTTATAACCTCCCCATATATTTCCATTATAAGTATATGTGAGTCTGTATATAAATACATATGTATATATGCAAAAGTCTCCATGGTAAGTGAGGCCATCAAAGAGTTAATAAATTCACAATCTAATTTGGCATCCAGACAAGGCAGATAGCAAAGCTTCCCTTTGATTCCCTTACTTAGAGGGAAAATATTAGCGATCTTTATCACTGGGCTCCCTCTGGAGCTGCAGTCTGGGAGTAGAAAGGGGTGGACTTTTAAGTAGCACTCTCATTTATGAACGCACCATGCTTCCCCCCAAGTACAAGTAACTACAAAGCATTCCACTCTTCCAATGCTCGTTCCCATCCTGGGATGTTTTCACTTAAAACAGGCAAGAATGGGTTGCATTCGGCACCAAGGGGCAGCCCTGCTGAGTGAGGCCCTGTGGTTTGTTTCCAAGGTATGGCCTCCAAGGCTTCCCATTCATGGGATTCCTGCGGATTTGGCTTTATCTGTGGGCAAGGGACCAGGCTCTGACAGTCTACAGAACTTGCCCCCTTCTCCCCGGATAATGAGAAGATTTGAAAAGCCATTTAGTCATAACTCAATCAGCCAATTTTCCTCACCAGTGGGCCTTTGTGGAATTGCCTTCATTTCTCCCCTGGGTGGGGGCAGGGGTGTGGCCTCCAGGGACCCCACCCACACCCCATGCCATCTGCGTGGGGGGACACTTGCAGGGAGGGCTTGCCGCTGACGAGACCCAAGTTGTGGCCCTCAAGGGCTTGGTAAAAATGGGTAGTTCTGTTTTAGCTCGGGCTAAGACCAGACCAGGAGGTGAAAAGACTACGCACACAGCCACAATGTTGAGACTCCTGAAATAGAAAGCAGCTGTCTTTAAAGGAGACCTTGGCTGCCCCTCTGGACCATGGGCGGCCTTGCTGCAGCTACCCCTGCAGCCTGATTTGCCCGCAGAGGATTAGTGTTCTTGAGAGAGAAACGAAAAGGAAGAAACCAAGAAAGAGCAATTCTGAGGGGAAAACGCTACCAAGCTCAGTACAGCGGAACAACTCCAGCCAGAGCGATGTGTCAACGAAGGATCTGGAATCTGGTGCCAGGGATCCCTTAGAGATCTTGGGTCGGTATCATTTCAGCCATATTCTGTAGAAATTCGGTCAGGTATAAAAAAGGGGCTTTGGCCGAGAGAGGCCAGCTGGAGGAATGTTCAACTGAAATGCATATGGTTTGGATGACTTTCAGCTGAAATGAAAATGTAGGCTTTCAAGGTATACTTAAGAGATTTTTTTTTTTTTAAACCATCCCAAAATATAGCTTGAAAGAGCAGAGAAACAATTGTACCGGGAAAAAATAAAATAAAATAAAATAAGGGGAAGGTGAAGGAAGAGAACTGGGAGAGAGAACGCAATGTAAAAAGGCAAGGGAGACTCTGAAATTTTCCCCCAAGGAAGCCCTGGTTTTCATTTTTAATATTTAATAAATCTTCCCATATCACAAGAGCTCTGAGGACAAAAAGTTTACAGAATCAGGAAGAGCTCGAGAGTTGGAGAAAGTAATCTCCGGGGTGGTTCTGGTCTTGGGAAAAAAAGGTTAAGTCCCGGATGCGCAAGCTGGAGCACAGGCTGCGGCTCCAGTCCCAGGGGCGAACCAGTGAGCCCTCACACAGTGACGACACGTTCCAGAACTGGATTTGTGCTTACACAGCCTTGCTTGTTGCCCATGCTGTCCCAGGACGCGGGGGACCAAGATGCCTTTGTCCATTTGTGACAGGAGGTCACATAAACAAGGAGCCAGGGGTGAGGAAGGAATGGAAGGAAATTATATGTTTGAAAGAAGACGACGGCAAGGCAGCAAAGATGAACATTTAGGACAGCAGGGTAAAGGAATACAGATCTAGAATTTCTAAATTACGCTTGGCTCAAGGGTCTGGTTTACCACTGAAGCAGTATAATTATAAAGTTGGCTTAAAACAGACTGAGGATCTAGTTACTAATTTCTTACTAGCAATAGCATCAAAACTCTTTCTGCTAGTAGCTGGTCTCTTGACAAAAACCGTGTGTCTCATACGTGATGGGACCTATAGGGAGAGCTGGTTTTAATCAGGCAGATCTATAAAATGGTATGCAGTTGTGGTCTCCCTTCTCAGATGTCGATCCGAGCAGAGGAGAAAGTGAGGGCTGGAATTGTCAAAGTAATGAGGGGAAAAAAAAAAAAAAAAAACATTTTACATAAACGCTCCCTTGTCGTGCAGATGCAATGCCTAGGCTAAGTGTGTCAGAAACTTCAGTGGGAACCCTCTGGTGGATTTGAGAAAAATGACCAGAAACATTCCTCTGTGTTCATGTTTTTGGACCGGATTCTCCATGGCCCCAAAAAGGAAATCCTGGCCTGGTTACAGCCTTAAATGGGTGCTCAAATCCCCTGAACATTCGTTGCAGAAGTGCTTTCATTCTTACCCATTTTAGTTAATAAGAACAACGGGCATCAAAGACACATAAGGCTTTACTCCTGTTTACCTAGGCAATTATGTAGTCAGGATTCAAAAGAAGATTGTTGGCTTCTAAGGGACAAAACTTCCATTTGTAATAAAAAAAAAAAGCTTCTCTAGAATTTATATGTAGTAGGCATAGGTCTCCCTTTAACTATTCCTTTTGTTCCTTGTGGCAATGTACAAGTGTGGATGAAACACCACCACCACCAACATGGCAGCCTTTTTTCAGAATCGGGACCCCAAATTCTTTCCCGATATAACTAATCAATGATGCCTCAGGATTGACAATCACCCCTTTTTAAATGCAGATTTCTGATGGGAGGATGAAGTCACTAGGCCCTTAGGAAGTGGGCCGGAAGCAGGGAGGAGAACTCAGGGAAGCCTGTGGAAAGACCATCTATGGATAGCACAGGGGAGGGGCGGACGGCTATCTGAGGCTCAGGGAGACTGAGAGAGGAATTAGATTTGGCCTATAGGAAAGAGAAGATTCCCATTCCATTTTTCCTCGGCCTCAAATGATGCTGTGTGTCCTGCAAGAAATTGGGAATGCCCTTGTCTCATCTTGAGTGCAGATTTCTGGAACAGAGACCAAAAAACAACAATAAACAACAACAAAAAAAAAACCTTCAGTGAATCCCTGTGCCATTCCCATGATACATCCCCATAATCAAATATTATCCATTCATTTTTTTAGCAAATAT